TGAGGCCACTAAGTTTCTGGGTGCACAGCATTAGATAACTAATACCCAGACTGATCTCAGCTACTTCTTTTGTGAAAGGGAACATTACTACGGACTTGATAACACTGGAAAGATAGAGCAAGACGGTACTGGCCTGGCATGCCATAGGGGTTCTGTTGCGGGTGGGTATTATCATTATTATCCGCCATCCCACCTCCTCGCCTTCAACGGAGACTCCAGAGGAGGCTGAGCAGAGGCCTCCCACCCTCTTCACTTGCTTTCTTCCATTTCCTTGTCAAGTTCAGGCCCAGTCTTGACTGTCTCTCTTCCTCCGAGGGAGGGGACACTGGACTGGAGTGGACGTGTCTGTGACTTGGTGGGGAGCCCCTCCAGAACTCTGGGGTGGGTCCCACTCCCATTCTCAGGGTGTTCAGTGGTGTGTGCTTGTGTTTCCTTAGAAGGGCCCCAAATGTGATAATTACATACTTGTTAGCCCTGTAAAATAACAAATCTGGAATCTGCACTCTGGAACCAATGGATTTCCTGCTGGAATGAGTTCACCGGGTGCCGGGGCCAGCTTTCCCGCCAGAGCCAAAGCTGGGCTCCGGAAGGCCTCCCATAGTCCCCACCGGCCTGCGTCACAGGCTCCTAGGCCCCTCACTCCACTCTCCCCTTCACAGCGCCATCGCACAGATGTGCTGCTGTTGTTGTTGATGTTATTTTCATGCCTTCTTAATATCTGCTTGCTCGGCGTGGTCCTGGGTTCCCCCTTAGAGTAGGGGGACTTCTAGGGCCTGGGGCTTCCTCCTTCCTGTCTCCCACTAGTGAATCCAAAGCTGGGCTGGGCAAACGCTGACGGATGCCCATGGAGCCACCTGCCCTCCCCCTGGAGTTTATCTTGATTCCTGTGGACACCGTTGTCTCTCTTCCTCCCAGCCCAACCCCAACTCTCTTCCTGCCCAGACTCCAGGAATGCTCAACGAGTCCAGGTTCCCCAAACCTGGCTGCTTCTCTCGCACCTCTGGGCTGTTCTCTCTGGAATGCCCTCTCTCCCAGCCCTTACGGACACCTTCCCCTGGTTAACTCCACCCCCAACTTGGAAGCTTTGTGTGGATTCAATCGGAAGCATTCCATGGGCAACGCTGGGACAGGTGCCCGTCTCCCAGCCCCCACGATGCCCATGCTCTCTGGCTAGTCTGTGTCCGTGGGGCAGATATCAGGGAAAAGCCACCCTCTCAGGACACTGCCAATCCCAGGCACAGCTCCACCGCTCAGCCCTAGGGAGGTGGGCAGAGAAACAGGGGTTCAGGGTGGAGTCAGACTCAAGAAATGTCTGAATAAACACTGTCTGGTTCGTTCCAATAAAGCTGAACTACAAAGTCAGGGTAAGTGCCTCTCCCTGTGAAACAGATCAAATCAGCAGAAGAGAAGAAATAGCTTCCTAACTCCCCAGAAATCTTCCTCCAAAGCACAGACTTCGGTATCCACAGATTCTGGGCATCCACAGCCCGAGCCTTCCCACCCCCCTTCCTTCTTTCTTTTAAATATCACGGGCGAGAAGGAAGCACCGGATCTGAACGTTTATTTACCATTCCTGGGCCTGACCTTCCAGGAAGAGTGTCACTAATGAGAAACAATCTACTTGGGCTCCCAAACCCAGGATTTTCATAGGGATCCATTTAGGATTTCAGAGTCTAAGCAGGGCCAGGGTAATGCCGACTGCCCTCCCTTCGAAGGGAAAAAAAAAGGCAACCGAGTTTTTCCTGTCTGGAAGGAAGTTTTGTTTATGTCAAACAAATGTCAGACGCGAGGTTACATCTCTCCGCGGTCCCCATCCCTCCTGCAGGGAAGGAGGATGTTCACCTTCCCGCGGTGCGGGCTGAGGGACAGTGAAAATAAGGCCAAGCGCTGGTAGGGACTGAAGTTTCCCTGCTTTAGGGACTGACCTTGCAGCGGAGCCTAGAAGCCGGGAGCTCCGCTCTCGAGGCCGGATTCCATTCTCGCTCACATCCGAGCTGTGATTGTTTTCATATGGGGGAGACCCTGCCACCCCAGCAGAATGCACGCTCCATGAAGACAGGGGTCCGTCTGTACGCGCTCCCTGCCGTATCCCAGCGCCAGCAAATGCCCTCACAGAGCAGGTCCTCCTATTAAACGGATGAATTAAACAATTAGCCGGCGTGAAACAGTTGCATAGAAACAGCCAGTGGGTCTCATTTCCATTTTAAAAGTAATTTTTCTCAGCGGGTGCAGAGATTTTTATTTTTTTTATTTTTACGACAGGACTTAGAATTTTCTGGATCATCTGGTCCGTTAATCTTGTTTGGTCCATGGACAATACATCAGTGACAAGCGCTATTGTAATCCAACTGGTTATTAAACAGTGTGAACGTTGAACTTACAAATTCTCTTTAAACTCTGCCTCACATCTGGCTGTGTCGGTGGGTCGTAAAAGCTCTCAGGTGTTAGACGCTCGGTTTCATTTAGTCTTGGCTTAGCAGCAACTGCTCTCCACCTACTGCGGGGCGGCCACAGCTGGGCGCCGCTAGAGTCTCAATGAACTGCCACTTGGTGATCAGGAAGGCAGCCGGGTAACCCCATCCAGGACCAGCTCTGTCCCCCACCACCCTGGCCTCAGCTTCTTCCCTCTCTGAAAGAAGCCCTGACCGTCCCTCCTCTGGGAAATGGGGGGTGTGCCTTGGATGACGTCAGATAAAAAAGCCTGGGAGACACTCAGTGTCCTGTGGGAGACCGTGGATTTGAACACAAATTCTGGTGCAGCCACTAAGTGGCTGTGTCTACCCTGGACAGCTGGCCCCCTTCTGTGGCCTCAGTCTCTTTCTTTGTAAAATGGGAATAATTGTGCCTACTTCATGAGGATGTTATGAGATTTACATAAATCAGTGTATACAGACTACATGAGACAGTGCCTGGCACATTGGAAGGGCTGTGTGTTAGCGAGTGGTTTTGTCTGTACAGTGAGGGCCCCTGTGGTTCTCCAGGACCTCTCCACCCTCCTAAGAAGGAAAGCTCAGTAAATGAGGTGCCATTTTTTTTTTTGCATTTTCTATGCACCTGCTCCATCTAACTCTTCCCAGACTATGTATGGATCAAGACAAGAGTTTACACTAGTGATTTAAAAGGGGAAGAACAAAGGCTCCTCTAGGTACCCTGTCCTGCATGGTTCTAGGATGAAACCCTCCCAGAGGGGCCGCTCCAGCTCCCCATTCAACCTGAATGTAAATCTGAGGCTCCCTGCCACCTCAGTTCAATTGGCAAAACCATCTCAATATGGGATTGGTCTGTTCAGAGTGGAAGGATGGCAGGAGGAACTTCGGGGCTTGGGAAGGGGTGCAGGTCCCTAGGTCTCTCTGCTCAGCCCTAGCCTCTGGCCTGTTCAGTCTGGGGTCAGGAGCCTTCCATCAATTCGGTGATATAACGCAGAAATCCAGACTGCTGCTTCTGAATATTGTCATGATAATAATCATCTCTTAAATTAACACAGTTCATCACATCCATTGAAACATACGTGCTTTTCAAATATCTCTCATCCATGTGCATGGCCCATCTTTATGACAAAAAAACCTAAGGCTTAGTTTATCACTGGAGGCAAAACACTTGGCATTTAAGCCAGGCTGCCTCGTTTAAACTGTTGGTGGGGACACTCTTCCTATGTCATACTTGCACCTTCCACAGTAAGCTACTTGATTCCTTTGTTGAATAGATGAGGGTGTCCTGAATGGACACCAACAACCTCCTGAAAGGAAAACAGTATCCACAGCGCAACCCAGTAACTGTTGAAAAACATTATGAATGGCCAAAAATGATCATACAAAGTCGTTTGCCCAGAGCTGGCATCTACTAGGTCACAAAGAACAGATTCCCATGGTGAGGCCAGAGAGGAGCTTAATTCTGAGCTGAGCCTTCCTCCTGGCTGGAAATCCCAGCCCCAGGTGCTCTCCTCTCACTGCCCGTCTGCAGTCTGTGATTAGGGGCCCTAATGGCCATAATGCCTCCAATGTGGTGTTTAAACCAATAAGGCTTCAGAGAAGTTACGGTATGTTTAATAATGGCTTAATGACTACTTTCGAGATGCAGGGCTTCTGGTTCCTGTTTGGCCTTGATTTATAGCCCGACTCCGGCTGAGGACAGCCAAGAAACCCCTTCTAAGCCCCCAGCGGAAGAGGGAGGTGTTCACACCAGGCTTCTTGGATTCCTTTAAAAATTGAGAATTCAAATGAAATACAAATGACGTTTGACTCCCCACCCTTCTCACTGGTCTCTTGAGGCACCGGAATAAAGAAACTGTATGACCCACACTTAGGGACTCCTCAGTCCACAGAAGTGAGCAAGGGCCCTCTGGTGTTTCATACCTGATCTTAGCTGGGGCGGGGGTGGATTCTCTTTTCAGAAATTCTAAGCTACTGTGCTAGTCCTATGCTCCCTTTTGGCTGGAGAGTCCCAACTCTTAGATGTGATTCTCCCCTCCCCTCCCTGCAAAATGGCAGGCCAGGGGCCCTGGGGTCTGAGCTGCAGGCAGCCTCTCTATAGCGGGGTCCCGGGCACATCCAGAGCATTTGCCCACTGAAAGGCACTCAACGCCATGCCTGCTGTTCAAACTCAAAACCCACCAAGTGCTCCACCACCTGCTCCAAAGGCAGCCTCTCTTCAGCCCTGAGTTGCCCTGCAAGTCCCCCCAGCCCTGCCACTGCTCCAGACCGGCCAGGAATAAATAAGGACTCTGAAGATGGACTCGTCTAACCTCCAGTTAGACGACGACACCAGCCACTGGTACAAGGTCACGAGCGCCCAGCCCCCAGCGCCCCACCCCTACTCCCACATCAGAGCTGTCTTCCAAACTCCCAAAGACTCCTAGCCAGGGAAGAAGCAAGAGATCTCTAAGGGAGGCGTTTTCTGCTGGAGGCAACGTTTTCCAGCTCCCAGCCAAGTCCCAGCCCTTACCTGCCTCGGTCTTATCCCAGGCTGTCAGGAGACCAGGCCTACAAGTTCGTTTTGGGGGGATGGGGGGAGGACTCGGTCCCGAACTGCCTCACCCCTCCTGCGACAAGAGCCGCTGGACGGGACGTAAGGACCAAGGGTACCGCTCTGAGCTAGGGACTCACCAAGATGCGCAGACAAAAGGGTCCAAATGCCTCCGATACGCGCGCTGGGGTGAATCAGGGGGCTCCCGGGCTCGGAGGGGTTAACCCGCGCGGGGCCGCACGTGACGTGGATGGTTCCAGGGAAGGCGCTG